CCCGCAGCGAGCGGAGGGAGGCCGTTGGGTCGGGTCGCGTCGCTCGGGGTGGCCCCGGGCCGCTCCGTGCTCCCTCCCGGAAGGGGGGGGCAGCGGTGGGGTGTCTCGGGAACGGCCCCGGGGAGGCGGCGACGAGCTGCCTCAGGCACGTACCCGCCAAAACCCAGGCGGAGCCCGCCACGCTACGGCAGGGCCTGCGTGCCTCTGCCGGGGACAGCGCGCATCGGGGCGAGCGAAGTTAAGAACGGTATTTTTAGAAAGCATGAGGTTGTCGGTTGTTGGGTTTTTTTAAGCAGCCTTGCTCACCAGATCGTTTTTAATAACTGCCAGCACATGCGTGTTGCTGTGGTTGCTAGAGGATTATTTTCTGTGAATTCGGTTGAAGCCTGCTTGGAAGTGGTAGTCAAAACGCCAGGGTGCCCTTCATTTAATTCCCGTGCTTTCCTTCCTTATTAAGGAGATCGCTTTCCTGAGAGAATAGGCCTTGAGGCTTCCCGCAGGACTGCAGTTCACTATCCACCGAATCTCTACGGGCACCAGGGAAAAGGGGAGCACACCAAAAATGTGAAGCATTTTGAAAGATGCTCTTAGTTATCCTCCCTAAAAAAAAAAAACCACACCTCTAACTTGACAACTGTTGTGACTCATAATGATGCCTTGCAATCCTCAAAGCACTTTAAATGAAATACTTAATACGGCCAGATACAGCTGGATTCACATTTATAAAGAGCTGATGGTTGTTTAAGATCCCTCAGATCTTCCAATTTGTAATCTGCCTTTAAAACTTCACAGCTGACAGTAAAGTGAGGGGAAAATGACTTTTTCCTGCTCATTGGCACACCAGCAAATTCCCCAGATCAAAGCCATACTGCTATTTGTGAAAACAGCAGCATCTGGCTAAATCTCACTGTGCCAGTGTCATTGGGAGGCAGTGACAGAACACATGAGTATGAACTAGAAACCTTTTCCTTTAATTCAAAAAAGAAAATAAATTCCAGCACTGATTTTAACATAAGTTGACATTTAATTTATGATAGAGCACATCCACAGAGATGACAAATTAGAAGCATTTCTTGTGGGAGATGAGCATATACAAAGCACTGGGGCTCCTATTCACTTTTCTAGCTTCGGGTCCAACTAATTATTGTTTGCTTATAGATATGAATTACTCTCGGTTCATCACCAATGTGAGTGCAGCAAGAAAAGCATCTCCAATAAGACTTCTGAGTGAGTACATGCCCATTCTTTCCAGGTTCTTTGGAAAGGTATCATTCTACATTCTGGACTTTGCTGGGGTATCATGGCTAAAGACTTGCAAAGGCTTGAAAGAAAACCATGCTGTAAGTTGACGAGCAAGGCCAGTTAACTGCTTCGACTTTAGTTAAGACATGAAGTAGGTAAAGCAAAGTGAATAGCCTTGAACCATTTCAGAAACCCATCCAGACAGAAGTAGTATTGTCACTTCAATGTGTTTGAAAAATCTCTGCTACTGGCTCTGAAGCAGGGCTTTTGGCAGTTTGCTGCTGAATTTACACTTGTTCCTGGTTGTCCAGGAACAAGCAACTGCTAACGACTTCAAAATCAGTCCAGGATAATGTTTCTTTCCACCTAGCTTTGCTGTATCCTGTCAGTGTCCATAAATTCCTCACCACCTCCATCCCCTCAGTGTTACTACACTTTCCTTTTCTATATTCCACTATCTTTAGGCTACCATGCTACATAGTCTTCTGTGTGACAAATTGAAAAGGTTAACTGCATCCTTGTTTACTCAGTTGAAACCTTCAGGGACCTGACAGAATCAGAGCATGAGACATACATCAGTAGTTAAGCCTTCAGGGGTCAACTTCCTCTTAGTAAGGGGTTGGCATTTGCTGTTTGCTTAAAATGCTTCATACAGGTACAGCTAAGTCAACTAATTCACTCTAGTCAGTCTCTACTTTTTCAAATGATACACTGATATGCATCATAACACAAATACTAAGTAGCACAGCTTGTGCAGAAAGACACCAAGGCTGCAGTTTCAGTAACAAAGTAAATCTTCACCAGACCAAAAGTCACAGACATGACCCATGTTGCTGAACTGATAAGAATTAACTCCCCATGCTCAAGTTTGTTAATAAATAGCAGATAATAAACTTGGTAACAGGAAGCTTTAAGAGAGATTTGGTGTGATCTGTCCTTTAATATCTGGTGTAAAACTGTCAAGCCAGCATGAATACTATATTGTGAGGTCTTCAATTTAATGCAGTCAAGCACCCTTGCTGGATTAAGGTCCAGTTTGCACTGCATAGATTGGATCTGAATGACTGTGAAACTGTGACTTTAAAGCAAGAGCTGTTAACATATTCTTCATACTGAATTATTTACACAGTGCCTCTGCCACTGAAGCTGGCTGCCAAAAACATTCCCACTCCATTATAGAAAAGCTATAATCATATATGTAACTATCAGTGTAGCTGTGCTACTGCCACATCAGCTAAAGTGAGAACAAAAAGCAAAGCCAGTCATTTCAAGTCAGTCTAAACAGATCATTAAGATTTCAAATTCTTAAAGCTAAAAACACATCAGTGTCAGAAGTTTTTATAGTAGTAGGACAGTGCAGGTAAGATTTAAAAAGTTATTTATAATTTATTTTAAGACAAAGATTATTTTTTTGTTTTGGTCTGTCCTGCCCACGTCTCTTTCCCTGGTCCACCCCCCTAACACCTGTTTAATACAAGTAGAAAGATGTTTTAAAAGAATTATCATCCTTTTGAATTTATGACAGTTAAAAGTGAAAGATTGAACAAGCTTCTTTGGACCATTATTATATACTGACTAAAGGATGTGATCACTTTTGCAGTAATCAGATTGTAACCAATGTCTTTTCCTTTTATCTAGCTGAATTGATGCAGAAGTCTCCTCCATCTCTCATCTCTCTGGCTGGAGGAGCACCAAACCCTAACGTTTTTCCATTTAAGAGGGCTACTGTTGCCATTGGACATGGAACTGCAGTTGACATTGGGGAAGATCTGATGAAGAGAGCTCTCCAGTACTCAGCCTCAGCAGGGTATCTGCCTCAGCTGCTTGCACTTCAAGATGCCAGAATCAAAGGATCACAAAATCCTTTATTACATTAGTTCACCTGCATTTTTAAAAACCTGCTTGCAAAACCTGTTTTACAAAAATAGGTTTAACTTCTTTCAATTTGCCTCACAATTTACATTTCAGTTTAAGAGAAAAGTTTTGAGCAGATTAATAATTTAAAATAAAAGAACCACCCTAATACTAGTAATTCTCAAGCCAGAGCATTTCCTGGCTATTAGTATTTGGGAGTCCAGACTCACAAATCACTAGCAGGAATCATTTTGTATTTTGCAATAAGATATTGATTAAAGGATACTGCATTGCAATACATGGTTTCCACATTTGTTTTGCTTTCATTTGTGCCTCATATTAAAGTCAGTAGGTACTACTTGTGATAGTTTGAGGCATTTTAGTATTGTCATTTTTAGTGCAGAAATTGTGTATCATTAAGTTACTTTAGCACTTGTGAACTCCCCAGTAGACAGCAGTGAGCCAGGCTCGTGACAGGTTTGCAAAAATACTTAGTTACCTACAGAGGCACACAGGGCATTAGTAAGTGAAATTAAGACTTGTCTTAATATTTAAATGAGCCCAGCCATTTGTGAACATCCTACAAGATCTCAAAACATTTTTTGAAAAAAATCTATTTCAGAAATCCTTATCTGCAGCCTATTACTAGCAGTATTGCAAGCTTTGTCACATTACCATAGGAGCAAATATTGTTCAGCCTCTACCCCTATTCCATCCTTGGCAAATCATTTCCACCCAGATTTCATTATAATTTGGTGTGTGGACCACAGATGCCCATCTCTTCTGCTTTTCCATAAGAATCATTTATCTCATTTTCATCATTTGATAAAGCAATCAAAATGACCATCTAGGTGTATCTGTACAACAATTGAAATCAGACTCAGGACTGCTTGTAAGATTTGACAGTTATTTAGAGGAGCAGCCTAGCTTCAGCCTATATAAGATGTTAGATGCAACTTATTTTATTCATGTTTCAGGATTCCAGAGCTGTTGTCTTGGCTGAAGGATTTCCAGCGGAATCTACATAATCCCCCCACAGCTAACTACAGTCCCGAGCAAGGACAAATGGAAGTGTGTGTCACAACTGGCAGCCAGGAAGGCTTGTGTAAAGTAAGACCAAAAGCTTCATATGTTAAAAGCATTTCAGAGAGATGTTTATTTTCATCAGTTCATACTCAGCATTACATGCTGGTATAACTATATACAGGGTACTTTAATAAATGTATTCTCAATACAAGATAATAGAACCAAAATAAAACTGGTGTGGCAGTCTGATCTGCCAGGACTTCATGAATGTTCAGGTAAACTAAAGACTGTCAGAAAATGCTGTAAGGTAACATTTCATGTTGCTCATGTAGGTGCATTATTTGCTTTACCATAACTCAATTTGAATTAGACTTCTTTAAACAAATCACCCTTTCCCGTCCACTCTCACCATTGCTTTGTTGATCCTTTCTGTAACTAAAGCACTGTTTCTATTGTATAATAGAGCACTACCTTTCCATTTCAAATTGAGATCTCTAGATGATTACCTAGCATCATTTTACTCTAAAGCAGATTTTTCATCTGTTCGTTGCTTTTCTAACAGACAGCATAATTAAATTGTTAGGGAATTACTAATATCTAACCAAGATTTTTAATCCCACTATGAAGGATGTGTACAAGAATGGCACAGCCTTTTGAAAATAGACTTTCTTTTACAGGTGTTCGAAATGCTCATTAATCCTGGGGACAACATCCTTTTGGATGCACCTACATACTCTGGTACACTAGCAGCTGTAAGCATTCTTTAGCTACAAAACACCGAATGTTTCATTTGAAGTAAACACCAATTTAGTACCTGATCTGCAGGCTTGTATACACTGTCTGTATTTACTGCAAAACCAACAAGTTTTAGTGTTAGTCTAGTCAAGTTCATAAATATTAACTCATAGAAGCTTTTCTACTAAAAGTTTATAAAAGTTATTCTCAGGCAGTTCCTCTTCCAAATCCTAGTTCGTTCAAGGTCTAAGGTTATGTTTGGGATTGGAAAGAAAGCCATCACAACCTAGTCAGGTCGAAGCAAATCTGTAAGTGGGTATTTTAACATGTCAGCACATTCACCTGAAGTATTTTGTAGTCTGATTATACCATAGCTATAAACAGTATAAAATTGGAACAGGCCTGAAACATCCATGTGAGTATAAAGATGTGATTTAGTAAGAATTATACAAAAATAGCAGAGTTTAATTCTGAAAAGTAATTAATCAGTATGCAATAAAATGTCAGCTCAAAATGCATAAGAAGGGTTAGAATGGATAAAACACCACAATTTCAGTCTAGTCTCCCCTTGCATCAAAAGGAATTTTTATTGTTTGCTGTGCTAAGTTTGAATATATCTTGTCTAATCAAATATGCTTTGTTAGGAATATATTTTGACAATGCAGCAACTTGCATTTCTCTTCAAAATGCAGAGTGCTACACAGTACAAATTGAAATTCCACAGAGGGAAGACAGCATGCTTTTTTGTTGGTATTTTACCTATATTTTTTTCATACTTCTGTCAACATGTCATTGCAGTAGCATCATTTCATTCTCCTTTGTATTGCTGAATGTATCTATTGAGAACAGATTCTTTGCCCTTTGTCAATGCAGAGTAGCTTATAGTTCTGGCACTTCCACTGAAGTAGAAGGTAAATTGTCAGTAGGACATCAAGGTGCTATGAACTTACTGTCTGTGGTGAGAACATGAGCCCTGAGAAAACACAGTTCAAATCTGCAAAATCCCTTTCTGCTTGCAAAACCATGTGTGATTTCCTAGAGAAGAGCAGCAATTGGACATAGGAGCTGCCCATTTCTTCTCACTTGGCTTAACAGGGCAGATAGAGTAATGTGGTAAGTTTGACAATCTTCACAGCAAATTCAGGCAAAATTTCTTTTGAATCATTATCAAATGGAGTTTGAGATAGCTATAAAGTCAGAAGGACTTTGTATCAATGAAATTTTATAGTGTCAATGACAAAATTAAGATCTTTGAATTACAGGATTATAACAGTTTTGTTCCTCCTGTCAACAGCTGAGACCTTTGGGTTGTAACATAATTAATGTTCCTAGTGACCAACATGGCATTATTCCAAAAGCTCTAAAAGAAATTCTGTCTACATGGAGCTCAGAAGATGTAAAAAATCATAGCCACCATCTCCCCAAATTCCTGTACACAATCCCAAATGGGTGCAACCCAACTGGAAACTCTCTGACCACAGAGCGCAAGGAGGAGATTTACCAGGTATGTAGCTGGGGCCTTGTGAACCTTGTAGGTGGAAATGGATAAATGTCAGTTTCTCTTCAGTTGAGAGAATTTGGACCCATGGTTGGTCTAGTAGACATTCCTCCTAGAACTTGTTTCTAGCAGAACCTTGTTCAAAACAACTCTTCAGAGGTAGACTATGTATTAGATAAATTGTTTTGCAGTAATAGCCCATTTCTGGCTTCTGTCTTTGCCATGGGCTTCAAACTGGGCTTTCTGCAGGTTTTCTGCAGAGTTTGAATGCTACATGGAACAGACCTTCAGTTATATACATGTGTCCTTGTACTGCAGGTACCACATTTACTCTTGTAATTGCTTGATATCTAAATTGGGCATTTGAAGGCCTCTCTTGATAGGGCCTTGTATACAGTGAATGAGTAATCCATAGGATCATAATACGGTTCTAGTAGTAGGCCCAGGGTGTAGGAAGAACTGAATTTTCCAATGTCTTTACATTTTAACAAATCTACTTTTTATTCACTACTTCAGCTTGCAAGAAAATATGATTTTCTCATCATAGAAGATGATCCTTACTACTTTCTTCAGTTTGAAAAGGTAATTTGTTTTCCATACTGTTTAGTAACACATTTTCTGATCTGGAAGAGAACTAAGGTTTGAGCCATGGATTTTCCTGTATGCTCCTTCATGTCCTACCCAAGGTAGTTGTAGGCCTCACAGCCTATGCTACTGCCAGTTGTTGTCCCCTGTGTGGCATTTTACTGCATCAGTCCTGTTAATCAAATGGCTCAAATTCCTCAAGCCTTATATAGGACAGAATTTCCTTCAATAGCCAGAAAACGCCTCCAGAGCAAAATAAGTATGCCACTGAAGCAACACTTGAAAATAGCAGCCTCTTAATGTTCCTTTCAGCCCAGTCTTTCATTTAGTGGAAGACTGCCTACTCCCAGTCTACTATATTACATTTTCACCCCTTTGCCTTTTGGAGAACCCAAGAGAGTTCTCCCAGATACCACAGCAGCTTCCCTCCTTCACATAAATTTTCCCCATATGGGTAACAGTCAAGTGTTGATCTGTCTTCACACATAGATGTACAGTTGCACAGTCTGCAGAAAGTATCTAACTTCAGGAATAAAAGCTGGTCTTGTGAAGCAGTAAAACATTGGTAGAAACTAAAGTTCAATATTCTCTATTTTGAAATATGTTTTTATGGGAGGAGGTAATAAAACTGCTTCACTTACTGAATAGCACTCTTTAGCTTTGCTAGAGGGTGAAGGGGAGGTGTAAAATTAGAATTCTTGATAAGGAAAAAGTGTGCTGAACTCAGATCATCAGAATTTGGTCATATCTTCCGATTTCCTTTTTTAAGATAAAGCTAAAAGCTGCAGGGCCCCATCTTAGAAATTACAGTATCTGTTTACTCCATAAGAAAAATCTTGTCAGAGAAATCATTATTTCTCTTTCCTGCTTATGGCATCATACCAAAACCTGAACTGAACACTTGTATGCTGAACAGAGTGCTAAGCATCAAAAAATAACAAGGCTGATTTCTTGATGATTTTCATGGAATAATGTAATCACATCTCAGCTAGTCTAAGCAATCACTTATCAGCAAGTTACTGCTTTTTTTTCCCCTTGAAATGCAGATCTAAAATATTTGCTATCAAAGTATTTCTTTAAAAAATTAATTATGTCTTCATAGTGAAGAAAATTTCATCATAATCTGTACTAGCACCTTGAATTTTATTTTTTATTTTTTTCCAAGCCATGGGCTCCAACTTTCCTCTCAATGGATGTGGATGGCAGAGTTATCAGGACTGACTCTTTCTCTAAAATTCTCTCATCTGGGTAAGGCCAGCTTCAGACTGCTCAGCACTGACTGTTCAGTTAGGGCACAAGACTAATACTTCATACAAAATGACCAGTTATGTCAGTGGTTTTTTATCTAATACCTATCCATTTCTGGAATGTACCTTTGGATCCACAGCTCTTCCCAGTCCACTCACTTTTCATGTCATCTCTTGGCAGACATTTAACTCTAGATTCTGTTACTCTTCCAGTACTTCCCCAGGCAACCCATTCTTGCAGACACCATCTAGGCAGAAAGACAGATGCTGGATTCCAGCTCTGTTCCTGGAACTCCTAGGAGCTTTCCTCTCCTTTTTTCCATTTCTCCTATCTCTTACCATGCCTGCAATCTCCCTGAACTTGTAATACAGAAGAGAAATGATGGTATCATTCACTTTGAACTGTTTATAGGGTTATACTGATCTCTCATCTTCTAGCCTTAGAGTTTTTTCAGGTTGTTTCCACCTGCCTGAAAAACAAAGCTGGCTGTTTTTCATTTTACACAAGTCAACATATTTGATTTTTAACTTTTTGTTTATTATCCTAATAGATATAAGTAATGTGAATTCTGCACTGGCAGTTAGTGGATTATAAACTCATCCCCAAGAAAGTGAGGAAACAACACAATGCTAAGTGTAATTACACTTTCAAAAGTGACACTGCAAAAAGGCATGATGCAATTTTATATTTGTCAAAGATGCTTATGAGCTTACTGGTTCTATTTTTCTTCAAAGAAAAACTCCAGCCAACCTGTAAAGATAGGTCATAAGAATCAAAGCATGAATAAGAATCTAGCTTATCAGTCTAAATTCCATTTATTCAGCTATACTGAAAAGGAGTGAAAGAGTAAAGCTGTTTGCCACTTCTCATCTGTTTTTCATAAAGCCTGAGCACTCATGATTTTTCATTATGTGAAAACCTATCTTTCCTTCCCTTTGATTCATGTTATCTTTATGATTGCAGAGGAATGCTTACAGATGTGGGGTACGTCCTGAAGTCTCAGAACTAAGAACCTACAATAAACATTAAAAACCCTTAAATGTTTTTATTTCATTACTTTTAATTTTAATACTGTCCTAAGACCCAGGCTTATGAAGTTTGAGTCGAGTATCAAAGTAATAATATAATCTTAAATGCATAAAAGATCCTTACAATATTAATGAAGTGGTTACACTTTTTCCCAGTTTTAAGTTAAACTATAACTCACACAAATTATTAGCACATTGCATTTCTGTAATAACTTTTTTTTTCCTCTAGGTTAAGAATAGGCTTTCTAACAGGTCCGAAGCCTCTTATCGACAGAGTTATTCTCCACATTCAGGTTTCAACAATGCACACCAGCACTTTCACACAGGCAAGTACCAAATTGCCAACTGAACTGTATTCAGAAAATATAACATATTTCAAGTCATAAGAAACCACAACCAAACAGCTTTGCACTTTTGTAGTTGCTCTGCACTTTTGCTTGTAATTGCCAAGGAGAGAAATAGACATTAAAACCAGAGATAGAGGGTGCCTGAGTACACAGAAAACACAGCTAATATGCCCTTGACCCTCAGATTTCAAGAATCAAGATTTGAAATACTTGATATCTCTTGCTAGTAGGTTCCCTTGAAAAACCTCAATGTAGAGCACACATTAGAAGAACTTAGGTTTTTTCTGTTTTGCATTCTGCTTTGTAATTAGAACAATACTGACAGCCACAAAGACATTACAAAGCAGGCTGCCAACTGCAGCCCCTTTATAGTTAGTAATATGGAGACATTGAGCACATCTAAATATGGCTTCCATCTTCCAGCTCCATTAGTTCATCACAGAGGCAGTATTAAAGTAGAGACACTTATATGGGCTTCCTTTTTCTCTGTGATTACCATATTTAGCTCTCCATCCAGTTTTCTCTACCCCAGCCTCCAAAGACTGCCATGATCCTTGGAGACAGCAGTAACACAGACTGTAGTGGCCTGTTGCTACCTTTGTTTATAAAGGGCTCCAAGAGACCCTGCATGCAGTTTCTTGCCCGTGTGGAATTCTGAATAATGCATCAGGCTATGTGTGTTTTGATAACTGCAGAACAATCCTGTTTAAAATATGATATTGATGATGTGTTTTATTTCTTTAGATTATGATATCACAGCTGCTTCAGCAATGGGGAGAAAAGGGTTTCTTGGAGCATATAGACAGGTAGGTTCATGTTGTATGATGAATCCCACCATCTGCCATTCTGCTTCTTGTTACCTAAATAAAGCATTCTTTACAGTAAACAGGTCAGAGGAGGTGCACCAGTATTAGCCAAATAGATAAGCGAGGTTACAAAAACTGGCAGTGTTCACACAAGAGTACTGAAAGAGCTCAGTGTGAAGCTGCAGACATGCAGATCAGGGCATGTAACCTAACCACTAGAGACCAACAATCTGCCAGTCCACTGACAGTCACTATGCAGCTCCTCTCTGAAGGGAACTCAAGAGGATCCTGGGAGCTACAAGTCAATGAATAAAGTGTTCATCCCTACTGAAGAGTTAGGGTCTATAGCAAAGGCTAAGATCACTACCACATAATCTATTGAGAGAGTCAGCATAGCTTCTATAAAGGGAGCTCTTGCCTCACTAAGTCAGCAGAGATTCACCTTTTAACATCCTTAATCTAATGATTGTAGATGCTGATGGAGAGACCTACAGGGAGCAGCAAGGTTCACCCACACTCACTAAACATTGCCTTTATCACCACTCTTAGAGACAGAGCACTGGGCTAAGGTCTAACTCAGCAAGGCATTTCCTACATACTAACAGGCATTTGTTACCCATTTATTATGCTGCAGGAACATAGTGTCTCTAGAGTATCCATGCTTCATTTCAGATGCTGTACTTGGATGCCCTTAGAATACCAAGGTTCCTACTTAAGGGGGTAGTGTGTAGAGACTTGATACAGGAATGTGAGCATCTACCTGTTACTGTACTGCAAACACTAGTACTTAAAAAAAGTCAAAGCAGACACACCAGCCCTAGCTTTGCCTTGTTTAAAGAATTCAGAATATAAAGACAAGTTTTGCAGGGAAACTTGGACCACAACTCAGCTCAAATTTCATCAGTTTGAAAGACACATTCTAAATGTATCTCTTCACTTACCTTGTAGGCCAAAAGGCATCCTTGCTCAACCCAGAAGGACATTCCTCCTCTTAAGCTAATGAAAACAGTTCTGCAGTAAGGTAGTTGCAACCCTTTATAACCTTCTAGACTCAGTTGTCAGGTGACTTACTGATGAAGCCAAACAGCTGACTGCAATCTCTTCCAGGTGATTTCATTTGGACAAGGTTGACTTTTTAGATCATGCTTTTGAGTAAGAGCAGGCCTGTTATTTGGAGCAGCTACATTTTTGTGGAAGTCTTGTCTTACTAACACTTATAATTTCATTCCAAGATAGTAACAGAAAGGTAAAAAAAACTTACAACAGAATTTGTGATGTGGTAGAAACTGCCTAAGTGAGATTTACCATTTTATGTGGAATGTAGCAAAGTAGGCTAAGTCCCAAAACTATTTAAGCCTTTGGTGGTGTTGCTGTTTGTTTATCAGGTGTGATAAAATACATCCAGAAATTGAAGCTATTGTTTCAGCGAATACTACAAAAAAATCTAAACATAAAATTATGCAAATTGATAAGTCAGTTTTCTCTACAGAGATGGGAATACATTTGCGTCTGATTTATGAATTCTGTTTCAGGCATTGATCTTGTGTCTCCCATTGCACAGCTGTCTCATTTTATGTCAAGAAAAGCCACTGTGCAAGATTTGTCCTTGCTGAAACTCAGGTTAGGGTCATTTTCCCCTGTAAGTGATATATTTATTTGGAATTTTTATTTAAAGTGTGAAGGAGACAGGTTCCAAATTTTAGAAAAGGGGAAGCCATTAAATAGTCATGACGGGTTTATCATATGATTTGCTTTTTCCCTTGTGAAATACTATTTCCATGTGTGCCTATTACACAAATTCAGCCCAAATGCACAAATATTGAGTCTGTACTTTTGCATATGTCTGAGTCCTTAATTTGTTCCAGTATGCCTGCTTTGTGTGGTAAATATTGCTAACAGGACTTGTATCCACTGATATAATAGAACAGATATAATATATAAAGAATTTCCATGACATATGTAAACCTTAACAAGCAGCCACACAGGTACTTCCTTTGTCTTGCTGGTAAGTGCTTTGTTGGAGACACACAGAAGCATTCAAGACTTCTCTGATACATATACAAAGTTCTATACACATGGTATACTGTGTTGTGCCCATCTAGGATATGCCCATATTTCCCTTAACTGTGCACTTAGATTGTTCAGGTAGGAAAGCTTTGTTTCTGCCCTTGGAAACAAATGGGCTCTGAAGTACTATGAGATCATGACTTTGAATTGATAATTTACTTTCAGAGTGGTGGAGTTTTACAGGACCCAGCGGGATGCAATGCTCATTGCTGCTGACAAGTGGTTAAAAGGTCAGTGAGTACAACACAGCTAATTATTTAAAATATTTTTGAGCTATTTATCATCTTTGTGTTCGAGAAAAATCACTAAAATTCATCTCTTGACTGAAGTGACAGATAAGCACTATAAGCAAATCAATGACATTAAATATTAAGCTTAGGACAAGTTATCTAGTGCTGCTGTTTTCATGCTTTTCTGGTGGGCCAAGGAGACGGTGATGAGAAAAAAGCTCACTTTTACTGTATAAATCAGTTGTACAAAGAGCATATATTTCACTCCAGTATATTCTTACACTTACTGTGTTTATAATCCCTGTCTTTAAAATCTCTGTCTGAAATAGCCAGATTTAGCAGCCTTAATTTAAAAGAAGATATAAACAATCAGTACAGCAGTAGTGATGATCATTTTTTTGTCAGAGATCAATTTCAAATGTCCCCTTTTGTGGTTAATCACAGAGGACAGAAAGAATTTGATCAACAATAATGCAATTACAGTTAGTGACTCATTCCTTTTAGTCAGTCTAAGTGGAATCAGCAATAACTGCTGAAGAACTGCCCAGCCACCTAAAATGATACTTCCATGGGACATGAGTACTTGGGCACCACACCATCATTAATGTACTTATTCTTGCTAAGTAGATAGGAAGTATTTCTTTTTCTACATGTCTCTGAACAGCCATGGGTTTCTGACCTAGGCAGGCCCTCTTTGTCTCAATCCCCAGGTAGCAAAACAGTGTAATAGTACTGGGCTATCTTAAAGTGTATTAAAGTGTACCTTATTGTGAGACTCGTGTGAAAGACTGCGGGATCTTCATGTTTTCTTGAAATAGGAGCCATAATATTTTGGAAGACAGGCCTTTATTTTGTAGGTATGTAATGGTTAAATACATCAAGGAAGAGCTGGAGAAGATGTCAAGTCAAATAAATAGTTTCTTCAAAAACATATCCAAAACCAGAAAAGGAATTCTAGGTAAACAAAAGTATACAGTAAGTCTGAAAATAGAATTTAAGACATAGATCCTCTCTAAGCCTTCCCATCTTCCTCATAAGTCCTAGGCTCTCCTTTTCTTTGGGAAAAAAAAAATCTATAATCATTACAAGTTAAAGGAAAACAGTTTTTCACTTTGTTACACTTTAAATTGTATTGATAGTCAAAGTGATACTAAGAGAAACTGCATCAGAAAAATTATTTTAGATTATTTACTTGATCTGAAAATAATCAACAAATTCACTTTGTTAATGTTTGGGATTTTTGTAATTCAGAGCAATCACTTCAACAAAAAGTATTGAGCATACCAACATAAGTGCAGTAAGTCCACACAGATCTGGAGTACTTTAAATCTGGCAAGTGGTATCCTGGCTCTGTAGCCTACATTCCCTTTGAGTTCATTGGAGCAACAAATCTACAACATCACTGAACCTATAGTGTATGTTAAAGGTGGGGCAGAAGTTTCTTTCTTGATTCCCTTCTTTTTTCTCTCTTCTCTCCAGACTTGGCAGAGTGGTACCCTCCTGCTGCTGGCATGTTCTTATGGATCAAAATTAAGGGTGTTTCTGATACACAGCAGCTGATCATGGAGAAAGCTTTGCAGAAAGAAGTATGACCTATGGTTTAATAGCTTATGATGTTAAAGTGAAATGAAGGAAGGATAAAATAAATTTACCGTATCTACCCACACAAATACACACACATAAACAAGCAGAGGAACTTGTTGTGCAGCATCAAGTCTGCAAGTCAAACTTTGTTGCATAGTGACCCATTAATGAAATATTTTCACATCTGTATTCAGATGTTGGTATTTAATCATCTTACTTAAATTTAAACCATTATAATACATGGTACAGTATGTCATGTATACAACATATGTATAATATTAATAGAAGTACATATATGAATGTTGGATGTCTTCTATATCTTTTTAATAGGAGAAATTGTGATTTTATTTCTACAATTTATAAGAGCCAGCACCATGTACTGAGTAAACTACATCCCACCTCACTGGTGCTTGTAAACATTGTGGTGATAAGCCAGACTTGGTAACCCACCAGTCTAGGTAACCAAAGCCCAAGAGCCCTTTGATTTTGTTATGAAAAGCCTGATACCAAGTTGCACATTTTTGGCTTCTTATTTTGAAGAGAAGAAAAATATTACGCTTTATTCTGATACCAGTGTTTCAGCAGTGAGCCTTCTCAAATTTAATTTAACGTAGTGTTTTAAAACTGTAGAAGTGGTGATAACTGGGTGGCTAATCAATTCTTCCTAGGTGTTACTGGTTCCTGGAGGAGCATTCAATATAAATAGTTCAGAGCCTAGTTCTTATGTCAGAGCCTCCTTCTCTCTGTCTTCTCCAGCCCAGATGGATCTGGTAAGTGAGATTTATTTTTTTTTTAACATTCTTATCAAGACAGTTTCTCACATGTTCCCTTATTTTAACTTATTTCTCCTTATGTGTATTCTTCAATGTTATTGCAGGTTTTTTAGTACTTAGGTGGTTAAGCAGTACTTTTGCAGCAGAATTAGCTGCTTCTCATACAAGATACTCATATCCAGATGACCTGAAACGTACCAGATTTTTAGGACCATGTAAAATTTTTCTGTGTGTCTCATACATGTAGAGTCTCATACTTAATCTTCCCAGGCTTTACTGAAGTCAGAGTAGGTTTTGCTATTTGCTTGAGCATTAGCAGACATCACATATCCTTTATTTTCCAGACTTCCCATTCCTGAGATTGAATTACCTGTTCTCTTATGTGTGTGTTTTGTCAATCCTTTATAAGAAAGAATACATTTTTTCTAAGAAAGAATGTTGATTTTCTCCCATACAATAGACATATATGTTGTATTTCCTTTCTCAGGAACTAATCTTCTATGTATTTTAGGAACATTTTAGATGTTATTTGGCTGTATCTGTAAAATCAGTGGGAAGAAAGACAGGAGACATTTATTTGTGCAGATTTAATATTTCTTGAATTCAGGTGCTTGAAACAGTTCGGTATTTGTAGTTGTGCTTTCATTCAGTTGTGAAGGTTTGTAACAGATAAGCACGTCTATTGCCTATTTCTTCCGTATTTCTTCTATTTCTTCCTCTTCTTTGTAAAAGTAATTCATAACCATACTATTGACTGTCAAATTGTACCTTTTATATGGTTCCCCACTGTTCTTCCTTTTCTTTTACCTTTGGAGCCTCCAGGCCCTTACATTACATTCAAATAGATACTCTTCCAGGGATCACTAGTTGTATTAAAAGTACAGCTGTTTAGTTGCATCTGAACTCCAAATATCCTTTGAGCATCAATAGATGTATTTTTCTGTTTCAGAAGACCCTGCCTTTTATTCTCTATTAGAGAAGTGGAAGCTTTGTCCAGTCAAAGCCCATACATGTTGTTATAAAAGGAAAACAGAGAATATCAGCAGAATTTTGCAGGATAAAATACTGAGTTTGTATATGGTTAGGGTAGTTTTAGTAGCTTTACAGTTTTGGTGTGTTGCCTGTTTAAGTAATGTTTAAACATAAACCATATTTGTGTCATTGCAGGCCTTCAAGAGACTTGCTGACCTTATAAAAGAAGCTTTGTGAAACAGCTAAGTAGAGCTCTTGCAGCAATCAAAATCATCTCCAGAAAATATGTATTAACATTTGGATTTTATCAGAGCACTTTAAAAGCAAGCACAATAGAGTGGGTGTTTCCTTAGATCATTTCAGCTGAAAAAGCAAAAAACGAAAGAGTGAAAAACAATTTGCTTAATTTTTTTGACAGGACGTTGCATTACTAATTTTATTTCAATTCAGAAATATTTCAAATACTCAAAACCAAAGTGTCCTGTTTCCTGTCAAATCCATGGTTTTGTTAGATTTGAATTGAGTTTCGTTCGGGCTTTTGTTTTCCCGGGGAAATCAGTTACTTAGGAAGCTGCACATGAGGTGGTCTTAGCGACTGTTACTTAATCCCGACTGATACATTCCTCCAACATCTTGTGTTGGAATTGGTTTTGTGTCATTTTCCTTCTGTCCCACTGTATGGCATCTGGTTTTGAAGATGGGTATTTAATTTTAATAAAGTTCCGTCAGATGAAACTGATGTAAGCATGTTAAAAAATAGAACCTGTTCCAGCAAAATGAGGCTATGGTTGCAAATAAAACTATTTGGCCTGAGGTCCCTTGCAGTTTGCATGGGTTTTGCAGCTCGTTCTCTAATTTGTAAAAGGTTTTCTGATTGCTGTCTTCCACTTCAGTCTGTGAATAATTAGTCTGTACCTGTGTTAGAAAATCTCTGGTTTGCAAAGGCATGTGGATGTGCTAATAGAACTGCGCTCTGCTCTTAATCAATCAATCAATCAATCAATCAGGTGTTTTCTGAACAGGGAGCGTAAATAACTGAACAGGGGATGTAGTGGAATGGATAATACCTTGACACTGCCAAATGTACAAAGCAAGCAAAATTAAAAAATAAAGAAATGTTTTAATCTCTAATCCCTTGGTCATTATCATCCCAAACATTTGATACTTGGTAACATGTACAAAACCTTCAGAAAGTTTTAACTGTACAGATTCTCCAAGGCTTCCTTTTTTGCTTAGTGACTTAAGTTTTATTTACTTAAGTTTTATGAAAGCACTGTAGTTTTCCACCAACAGCAGATGGTTGTTTCTTTATGTGCAAGTATTCGGAATTTCAATGTAAAAATACGTGTTCAAGGATCCAGCCAATCCTTCAGCAGCTCAGGTAACCCAACCAAATAAGGGTCAGGCACAGCCTTATTTAATTGGAAGTTCAATAAGAGTCATGGTTTTAGTACTAATGATAATTTTCATTTCCTCTTTTCCCTCTGGTTATAAACAGCATGTGTCATGACAAACTAGCACAGATATGTGCCTTTCCCAGCATCTCTCTTCTATCATCAGGATCATTCCAGTGCCCAGCATTGCCTTTTATCTCTATCTCATGCCTTTTTATTTGTCACACCTCCAAGCCATCTCTGTACTTTGCAGCTTCTTGAGCAGCATATCTAAGATCAGTCCTTTCCCCTCTTCCCAGATTACTGCAAATTTTAGTCAAGTCTACATAATTTTCAGCCTAATTTTCTCCAATTTATAGAAGTATGTGATGCCTTTCCTCCCAGAGGCATTCAGAATACTTGGTATGGTCTCAACTTTTTTGTCACTCCTGCCCTCTTTCTGCAAACATGAGGCTGGGTCTGTTGTCCCACCACACCTCATCTGCAAACAACCCAGCATCTCCAGGTTCCCCTCCAATCCTCCCTGTCAGCAGCAGGAGTGGGGCTGCCGCTGGTGGGCCAATGGGCAAGCTGGTGCAGTGGATGAGGTCAGCCCGGCCATGGAGTTGGGCTGGGCTTGGGCAGGCAGGACCCACGTGGTGACAGAGTGTGGGAAGAGCCCACAGTCCCAAACGTGCTCTCAGGGCACCAACACTGTCTTCGAAGTCAAACTTGCCCTTTTTTACACTGATGGTGCTGATGAGGGGTCCAAACTAGCAAGCAGTGCCTCTGTGCAGTGCTGTTTAATAGCAAGTTTTCATGTTTCAACTTGGTTTCTTAACCACATGTAGAAATTTTGAAATCTCTGACTTTGCTATCAGCAAGGCAAATTTTATCTTGGGCTCAGTTTAAAAAATCATTTTACACAACAATAAATTGATGTGTCTGTTTAATTAAAATGTATTTTTACAGAGGCATAAATGTGAATGTCATTCATGACTGATTTTTAGTTATCCAGCAAATGGTATTGTCATTGTCACATACTATTGTCATATTGTCATTCAGCCAGACCTGAATTAGAAAAACATAATCAAAATGTCATTATTAAGCGAGCTTTATATCAGTGTTCTATTGAATAATACACCTCTTAATTTTCAGAGATCTAAATGTTAATTTAGTTGAATGTAAGCAAAATGAAATTCTGTTTGCTGCACATTAGATGCTTTTGCTATCAGCTAATTTAATTTAGAGTTAGGTTTTTTTCTTGACTGTGGTGAAGCATCTAAAATTATATTAATATCCTGAACAATGTAAGTTGAACAATGGCAGTGAAATCTTACAGGCACATCCTGTTTCCCTGAACCTCTTAAAGCACAGTTTCTGGTCTCCTGGGAGAGAGCATTTGCTATGATTAGGTCCCTGGAGGAAGCTACTTGGAGACGAAAGGAAAAGGGTGGGCAACAGGTTCACATAGAAAGAAATGATGCAGCAAATGAAAGTTTTGGGTTTCCCTTTCTGTTTTTCCATCCAAGAGAAATAACATCTCTCATTCATAGCTGGGTTTAGGCCATCTGATGCAAGTGATGCAATGTACCACTGGGGAAGAGAGGCTACCGAGGACAGAAGAGGCTTAGTGTGGTAAGCACATCCTCTGATGCTACCTAGATACGGTCAGATGTGGAAGAGCTTACAGCAGTGCTGTAGAGAGCTGCCTGACACGTGGGCAGCTCCAGACAGGCTGGGTCTCCAAACTTACTTCTGAGTGGACAATTACCTGCCCATTCTCTTGTACCTACACTTCAGTTCCACTGGATTTTCAGTTTTTTTGTGGATGAAAAACACCTAGGAATTCTGGGAAAACAGCCACTGTACATGACCCAAACAATTCTGCTGTACAAGAGAAATAAATCTCAACCCACCCTATGCACACCATGTGTACACATGTTTAGACTTGTGTGGTACATCCCACTTCCACTTTTTGAGTTTTACAGAGGAAGCAGTTCTTCCTGGGAGAATGGAAATACTAAGTGTAACAACTTTAACATAATTCCTGAACTTCTGCATCACATACATTCACAAATTTTAGGTTCACACAGGTCATTGATCTGAAGGCAAATATCCACCTTTGCTTTCAAATGAGAGCCCTTCAGCACATCTATGATTAATGAATAATAAAAATATGGAGAATTCATTAGAAAAGAGAATGTATGTGTGTATACAATATGGCCGTTCTTACATTAAACTATGAGCATGCAGAGAATTATTTCATTTAATTGAATGTCAGTCCCTGAGCATCAGTGGTAGTGTCCAAGAATTTATGTTTTTTGTGGAAAACGCTTAGTTTAGTTTTGGGGGGTTGTCCCCTAAATTCTCAATGCAAGTTTCATTTTAAACTTCATCCTTTACAAAATGATTGCTCTGTTTGGAACTTTGTATTTTAAAACCTTGTGGTCTACAGATCTGCAGCACTTGCATTTCTACCTTTGCAGTCTGGATAGTGATAACAGTGGGGCAAATATTTAAAAGAACTCTATTGAGCTGTACTGGTGCACGCCCTAGTCTGTCTTGTTTTCTTTATTATTTAACAGTTTTGGAGCAGCTCACTGTAGACTGTGTCTTAGATGCAAACAGAACGGCTGCAGTGTTTGAACTGTAATCATTCTGACTGAAAAGCACTCTGCAAATACAAAGAAACACACATTTTCATTCTTCTAACATTGCTACCATGAATACCAGTACCTCACTTTCTTATAATGGCTGTGGAAACTATTGTGTAACCCTGCAAAGCTCAGATATCACCATGGGAGAAGGGTCTTGCTGATTCTTTTCAAGGATGAACATCCCAGAAGTGTGTTAACAAATCTGACTGCTCCTCGAAGATTCCCTGCTAGCTGTACAGAATTTGGAGAATACCTCCAAAACTATATTTTCTTTTTATTTTCAATTTACATTAAATCAGATCTGGATGGATATAGCAAGTGAATATGCTGGGATGTGACCTGGAAAAAAATTACACGAAGGTATTTCTGTTGCTTGATTTACATAGAACTTTGAATTTTCTCTATGTTTGGTTAAGAATGAACTTTGAACCTAAAAAGTTCATAAGATTACAAATATTTTCCTGCACTTTCCTCAGAAAAATCAGGCATTAACAGAGGCAGAATACCATTGGCCTGGCCTAGGATTTTGGCTTTTGCTTATTATATGCTGGAATTTCTACCCAGATCCAGCTTGAGATGCCAGTCATAAAACCCTCCAGGTACATCAGCAGGTAGGAAACTGAATCCTTTCAGTGCACATCGCCACCAGCCTGTAGTCACTAAGAACATGGTGGAGCACCTGTGCGGCTCCACAGTACTGGAATAAGAACCAGAAGATGAGGCAGGCACATCCTGAATTAGCAGTGGGCAACAACACTGAAGAAAGGACAAGGTTGCAACTTTTGTACACTACACATTTCAGCATGTAAACACACACCAGATCAACAGAACCCTGGGGGAGCAACCACTGCAGTGTCTCAGGAAGGAGAATATAACCATCTATGTAAATCCAGAATCTGAGAATATAAAAGCAAACTATTGGTTTTGGAGAAATTGGAAATCTTTTCTGGTATTATTTTTAACTTGTTACATCATTTGAATCCAGAAATCTGCTTTTTTTTTGTCATCAACATGAATTGTCACCATATGAATATCTGCATATAAAAACACTTCAGGAAAAACATATCCAGTTTGGTTTCTAAGAGAATACTCAGTTTAAATGATATAACATTAGCTTTTCTATTGCTATTAGCCATATTTTTTTCATTTAATTTGTTTTTTGAATGTTTTTAAATTAAAGTGCATCTAGTGAAAGCCAACATTAAAATTTAACTGGGCAAACTAATCCCTATAGTGCTGCTAGTTATGTTTATGAAGTTGCACTAGTGCTAGCCTAGGTATTCCAGGAGAAGTTTTTGGATTAATTCTGTTTCTATTTTTCTGGCATAAAGTTTTTCTGACAAGATCAAATTATTTTATTGCCTTCTATGGAATCCTTTTTCAGTTAGACAATGTATAATTTAATACTCTCTCACACTGTCTGACTCTCCCCCAAAACAATAAAGAGGAGGGATAGAAACACCAGTTTCTTAAGTTTTCTTGGTGGACTGTATAAAATATGATTTTCAACACAGTTCTAAGAACTTGGAAGACATTATTTAATAAGCAAGTAAACTAGTTCCTGCACCTGCGAGGAAGACTAAGAAGATTTCCTCTCTTAGTAAGGGCATACCCAGTTAAACTGTAAACACTTTAGGCATCCTACAAACATGAAAGGAAACAGCAAAAAAACCCTTTAGAAATACCTAAGAAAGGAAATACTTTATCACAATCCTAAACCAGAAGAGAACAGCTTTGAATCTTACATTATTCAGTATCCAACTTTTTCATACCTTTTCCACTTCAAGTATT